GATACCCAGTGATTCCATCTCCTAGACATTCAAAGATACTTTTCATAGGCGAAATAACGAGCCCTAGCCGATGCAACTTCATCCGCGACTATGGTTGGTTGTTGTTGTTTTATGAGAATGTGCTACCATCAATTAATAAGTTACTCAGTTAGTATTAGCCAATGACACTTTGCGTTCGCCAGCGAACGCAGAAATGAACAAGATGGAGTTCCTCCTTTCTCCCAGTCCCCCTCCTTCCATTCGCGCTTTGCCTACCCCTCTCCCGTTTTACGGCAGCTGCGCAGGCTACATCTAATCAGTACATTCTATGTCTATGTCTTGAATGCTACTTTAACTTCGGAGGGGCTTATTGAAATAGAGGTGCTTTGCACTACAAGGAGCGGGCGCTTTTGGGAAGGAGGGCACTAAACCAAATCATCTCGGGTACTCGAAACGTAGTGATAATTAAATCCACCCTAGCCTATTTCCTTAACAGTATGGTCAAATTGTTTTCATTTGCACTTCAAGTGAGTTCTCGTTTGCACATCTCCTAAACTTAGTTGCACCTTAGTACCCTGATCCCAGAGGTTTTTCTTGATTTTTCTCTTCCCTTGAATTTTCTCCGCATGAGAGCGCTGCGAGAGAGCTGCGAAGCGGCGAGAAAGAAGAACCTCTGGTTACCTTGGACTTGTACCTCACTTTCATGCAGACGCCAAGGTCAGGATCTGACCCTCGGGCTCGGAGTGGTTGACATTTTTACAAACACGCAAATCAATATGATTGGTTATACCGAGGGGACGGTAGGGATATCTGTCACTGCACTTCTTGAGGTAAATTTTCAGTGCCTATCTCTATTAGGGAAGGAATTTGTTTCCAAAATACTTGAGTTCTCAGTTTATACACGTTAAAGATTCGCGTGTGTTCGACATGGGTTATCTTTCTGACAGTGTCTTCGAAGAAATTTTTACCTCGGTACTCGAGAAGCGTTTTCCAGAGATTGTAAGTCTCACCGAACATCAAAAGAAAGCCTTGCTCACAGTCGCAAGCTTAAATCGCAAGGATGTGTTCGCCATACTGCCAACCGGACATGGAAAGTCAATTATATTTCAGTTACTCCCTGATGTCTGCACATACCTGTACTTGTAGGCTCTTCATACCCTCATCATGCCACAATTTTGGTTGTGTGTTCTCTGAAGTCTCTGGTGGACTCTCATATCTGCGAACTGCGAAACTGTGGCATTTCAGCGGCCAGTTTGAGCAGTGAAGACGTCGACGAGAACAATCTGCTCAAAGAAGCTTATGCCTTTCTATTCGGAAGTCCCCAGTCCTTCTTACAAAACGAGAAGTGGAGAAACATGCTCGGTGGTACAAATGTTTAACAAGACAGAACCTTCGCCATCGTTGCGGATAAAAACATTCTTGCAAACACACGCGTTGACCCCAAGTAAGTCAAGTGATACCACCCTTCACCACCCTAGTGGAAACATTAGCGGCTGATAAGCATGTGATTGCTAAGTTACCATTGGTCCCTTTTGTAATTATCAATTTGACGCCGTTTGACAGCTGGCGTCTGAAAGTGAGATTCAAGTCCAAGGTAAACAGAGGTTTTTCTTTCTCGCCGCTTGGCGACTCGTGTTCGCCGCTTCGCGAAAAGAAACAAAATCAAGACAAACCTCTGGGACCAGGGTAGTACCTTAGTTTACTCGCCTTAACTCACCACTACAAAGGTATAAAAAGATATGCAAATATATCACAAAGATATGCAAATTGTAGAACATAAGTTCGCTCTGCTCACCCTTCCATAAAGGCGAATAAATTATGTTTTCATCTCAAGGTATCCATGGTCTCTTGAGGAAGTTATCGAGCTCTATCATGAGGCAGTTGGTCGTCTTCGCTGTGAAGGCTTTACTTTTATCCTTTGTTTGTGTCCCCATTGCAGGTAGGATGATATAACTATCTCAAAATTGTAACTGGTAAGACGATATTATGTTTGTCGACGGCAACTCTCTCAGTTTGCGTTCGTGTTGTACTGCTTTGCTATATTTTAAAATGCGTACTGAACTCTTTTGCGCTATCACAGTTGAATTAACCGGAAACAGTTTCTACTCTGCAAGCCTAACAAGAGACTACATTTACAAATGAGTTTATTTCGCAAGTTTACTGACAGATTGCTTACATAACCAAAAATACATTCATAGGTCACAAGACCTCTCTTACTGAAATAAAATCTTGCACACTAGGCCTAATACCGTTGCGATAGCAAGGTTTTTGATAATACGTGCAGTTAGTTTACGTGCTACTATAGTTGTACCAGGTACAATTTCCATTAAAATAAATGTAACAAACCCTCAGCTGAGTTTAAACTAAACTTCACTCACGCGAACCCAACGAATTTGCATTATTCACGCACCGAAAAATAATTTAAGCAACAGTCAGAACGTCAGTTCTCAGCGGTCAAATAAAGTATCGATACAGCAATGTTCGATTTCAAAACGTATGTATTTTTATACCCCCGACAATAAAAATCATTATCAAAGTCGGGGGAGAAATTTCGTACTTTTGTGTATATTTTCATATAGAGTCTGTTCAAGTGACATCATAAAATTCTCAAATTCAAAACCAAAGAGCCACTAAAGGTTTTATCCTCATCAGGCATAAGAGTTACTAAATTTATATATGTTTACAACTTTCCAGCTCAATATATAGCGTCCTTCGTTTAGAAACCAGCGCATTTTGAATTTTGGAGTTACCGTATTTATTCGATTAAGCGCCCAGGGCGCTTATTTAATTTTCGGACTTACAGGGTGGGCGCTTGTTGGAGGTGGGCGCTTATTAAATTTTCACCATTTTCAGTACGTAAAAAGTTTATTTTGTAACAGAGCAATAAATAAGAACAAAACATGACAAAACATTAAAGTACATAAATTGTAACTGTTCATTGTTCGGTTTATGCCCAGGACTAACAACTCATTGTTCGGTCTTCAGAAGTCTCTTTAGCTATCATAATTCTCAATCAACATTATGAAAGTTTCAGACAATGAAACTAGAGATTGTCAGCCATTAAAGAAATACCGTAATAATCAATACCTCTATTCTTCTTGTGCGCTTTATTATTATTATTATTATTATTATTATTATTATTATTATTATTATTATTATTTTATTTTTGGGGGGTAGTGGGGTGGGGGTGGGCGCTTATTCGAGGCTGGG